TTTCAGCTTTTATTAATTACCCATTTCCCCCTTTGGCTTAGTTCATGGTTTCTTCTAGTTCAACAAAAGATGATTTTCTCTGGTGTATACGTAGCTTTAGCTCCTAATGATGGCTTTCTGATGTACACTGGTGGTCCTCTGAGGCTGTTTGTTTTAGCATCTTGTGCTGACGGATACATTTGGTGATAGCTTTGGAATACTAATGCTAATGCTGGTTCTCACAAAGCTTGGCTTTTGAAAAATGCTTTAGACCATTCAGTACCCCTCTACCATGCTGAGTGACAAGAGGGCAGGAAGGCCATGCTCAGTAATTTTTTTTATGCAAAGTAAGCAGCCCACAGGAATGGCGGCTCTTTGCTTCACATCCTTCTGCCCAGGCTTCTTATAAAGCTGTAGCCATCTATTTGCATAAATATCAGGCCTGTCCCTTGTTGCAGTCTTTGTTACATAAATGCTATCAAAGGAAATGGAGGGAGAACAGATTTGAACATCTTGCATTCCGCTCTTAGAAAAAAGTGTGATTGTATAACTAATCCACATTATTTTCTTTTTGGTTTTATTAACCCTTCTGCCAGGCCGAGTTGATAGCAGCAAGGGCCGGGTTCAGTACATAGGGGTCCCCTCCCAACAGCGTGACACAAAACCAGCTCGAGCCCCCACCAGTGACCTGGGAAAATCTTGCACACCCCTGGGCGCCTCGAAGAGGCAATACTTCCCCTCTCGCAAGCACAGAGCCTCGGTGTAGCAGAAAATGTTTAATAACATGAGGTAAACGACGTAGCATTAAATTGGGAAAACACCACAAGTAGAGTTCATAGACCAAACCATGAGCGAAGACCCACCCCAGCAAATTGGACCGTGTCCTTTCCCGTTGGTTCTTGGGTCCAGCAACCCAAGAATCACCAAAGTCCCAAAAGTCCAACAACCCCAAAGTCTCTTGGGTCCACCAACGCAAGAATCACCAAAGTCCCAAAAGTCCAACAACCCCCAAAGTCTCTGTCTCTGGTCAGTGCAGTCTCAGAGTTCAAAGAGGGGGGGCACGCAGGGTGTTAAGGGGCCCCTTATGTGATCCGAGGCCGACCGGCCGCCTCTCCGTGGGGTTCACCGCCGCAGCCTTCACCACGAGCCGCTCCACTCCACCAGCCGTCCCGTGAGCCGCTCCTGCCGTCCCACGAACTGCTCTGCTCTACCAGCTGCTCAGCTCCGCTCGCCGTTCCTTGGGCTGCTCCAACCGTCCCCGCAAGGCTCTGCTCTGCTAGCTGCTCCTCCAGCCGTCCCCACAAACTGCTCCGCCAGCCGCTTAGCAATATAGCTTCAGGCTCCCCCACTAGTTAACACAGCACTCAGTGATCTCAGCTCTTAGTAACTTTAGCTCTTTTGTAATTTCAGCTCTTAGTGATTTCAGCTAGTAGTAGGGGAGCCCCAGTGCAGGTGCACTATTGGCCCGAAGTGAATTCAGCTCAGCAGCCTGTAACTAGACTTCTAATAGAATCAAAGTTAGCTCTGACATTCAACAGTGGAGAGGGGAGGAGATGCAATTGGTGTTTCAGGCTCACAAAAGGAGCCCACACCACCAGGTACAAATACTTGCCCCCAACCTCTCTCAATTCACTGGGTTTTGTAACCCATGCCCCTTGTCAAGCAAGTGCTACTTAGTTAATGGTGAGTCCTTCTGTCATACAACAGTTCCACTGGCCTTGATTCACAGAATCAGGGTAACAAAACTTTATTCTTCCTGCCCCAATAACAGAGAAACTGGGGATCCCACACCAGCCAAAGTAACCACTTTCAGTTGCTGTTGTCTCATGCCAGGCAGGTGGGTGTGCCTATGCAAACAAGATCAGCCCCTGGAGTTCTTTTCCACACTCGCCATAATTCACCACCAGATGTCAGGGTAGAGCTCATCCTGACTCTGCTTACATTAGATTTCCTTTCCCCTCAGTCCCCATTCCCATTTCTTGTTTCAGAGTGGCTGTTCCCCCTAGCCTGTAGAGGGACATCAGCAATAGATACCTTGGAGCAATAGCACTTGCAGTATTCTCTGCAGGAGAGCCCTTCTACATTATTATGACCAGTGATTGATTTGCTTCGGGTTATTGTTCTCTTCCATTAACCACTCGGCACAGTCACTCCTCATCACCCATTTCATGACAGAGACATGAGAACTTCGCTGCCACTATATTTCTGATAATCAGCTTGACTTGCCCAAATCTCCTGTAGGTTAATGCATGATTGGTATATGCTGTACATACCAGTTACCAGTCTGCAGGGAAGGAGTTCACACAGTCGCCAATAGAAGGGGAGACAGTCCATAAACTAATCTTGCTATTAAAATGTGGTCCACACAGTTAAAAGCTTAGGAACTATTCGTCAATCTACCATATGTAGGTGTTATGCCTCCACTTCAGTCTCATGCATATAGGTAATATTAGAGTAACAAATAAAGAGAACCATTTCAACTAGGGCTGTCGATTAATCGCAGTTAACTCATACGATTAACTAAAAAAAAAAATCGCAAAATTAACAAAATTAACCATGATGAATCGCAGTTTTAATTGCACTGTTAAACAATAGAATACCAATTGAAATTTATTAAATATTTTTGGATGTTTTTTTACATTTTCAAATATATCTATTTCAATTACAACACAGAATACAAAGTGGACAGTACTCACATTATATAATTTTTATTTCAAATATTTGCACTGTAAAAATTATAAACAAAAAAAATAGCATTTTTCAATTCACCTCATACAAGTACTGTAGTGTGATCTCCTTATCATGAAAGTGCAACTTACAAATATAGATTATTTTTGTTATATTTTTGAGTGCAATTATGTAACAATGTAAAACTTTAGAGCCTACAAGTCCACTCAGTCCTACTTCTTGTTCAGCCAATCGCTAAGACAGACAAGTTTGTTTACATTTGCGGGAGATAATGCTGCCAGCTTCTTATTTACAATGTATCTGAAAGTGAGAACAGGCGTTAGCATGGCATTGTTGTAGCCGGCATCACAGTATATTTACATGCCAGATGCACTAAAGATTCGTATGCCTCTTCATGCTTCGGCCACCGTTCCAGAGGACATACGTCCATGCTGAGCACGCTTGTTAAAAAATAAATGTGTTAATTAAATTTGTGACTGAACTCCTTGGGGGAGAATTGTATGTCTCCTGCTCTGTGTTTTACCGCATTCTGCCATATATTTCATGTTATACCAGTCTAGGATGATGACCCAGCACATGCTGTTCATTTGAAGAACACGTTCACTGCAAATTTGACAAAGGTACCAGTGTGAAATTTCTAAAGATAGCTACAACCTAAGAAGCTGAAGTGCCTTCCAAAATCTGAGAGGGATGAGGTGTGGAGCATGTTTTCAGAACTCTTAAAGGAGCAACACTCTGATGCAGAAACTACAGAACCCAAACCACCTTCTGCTGGTGGCATCTGACTCAGATAATGAAAATGAACATGTGTCAGTCAGCACTGCTTTGGATCGTTATCGAGCAGAACTCGTCATCAACATGGAGGCATGTCCTCTGGAAAGGTGGTTGAATCATGAAGGGACATATGAACCTTTAGCACATCTGGCATGTAAATATCTTGTGACGCTGGCTACAACAGTGCCATGCGAACGCCTGTTCTCACTTTCAGGTGACATTGTAAACAAGAAGCAGGCAGCATTATCTTCTGAAAATGTTTTCTGAGCAATTAGCTGAACAAGAAGTAGGACAGATTGGACTTGTAGGCTCTAAACTTTTACATTATTTTATATTTGAATGCAGTTTTTTTGTACATAATTCTACATTTGTAAGTTCAACTTTCATGATAAAGAGATTGCACTACAGTACTTGTATTAGGTGACTTGAAAAATATTATTTCTTTTGTTTTCTACAGTGCAAATATTTGTAATAAAAATAAATATAAAATGAGCACTGTACACTTTGTATTCTGTGTTGCAATTGAAATCAGTATATTTGAAAATGTAGAAAATATCCAAAAATATTTAAATAAATGGTATTCTTTTAACAGTGTGATTAATTACACGATTAATCGCGTTCAGTTTTTTAAATTGTGATTAATTTTTTTAATCGCTTGACAGCCCTAATTTCAACTAAATAGCTAAATTAGCCAAGTGATTTATTGAGCTGTCTGGGGTCTCTGCTTATATACACCTCTCTTCACACACAACTTCAACAGAGCGAAATTGGCAATGTCTCCACTGACCTCCAACCAGCTGTCACTTGGTATTAGCCCAACCTGCTTCTATGTAGTCAGGGAGATTTCAGGGACTACATCATAGAGATTCCCTCATGCGTTTGAGTGGTTACAAGTAATTTTTGCCTGAATGACATTCGGCTTTTGAATACCATGATGTTTGTACTACTTCCTATTACTAAGCAGATACATCTTCACTAAGTATATAAAATCTTCTGATACTTGCCTTCAGGCCCCTTGAATACTCTAACTCGGTGGGAAATGCTAATGGCAAGGTGATAGAATAGAATTCCATTGTGTAAATTCTATGCACAAAGCCGGGTGGCACAAATTAAAACAAAAACATGGAACGAACAAGCCAGATATCCATTTTGATCCTGACCATTTTGTTTGTTGGTTGTATCACTTTCTCCCAATTCTTTGCTTTTTTTTGCCCTTCAGACTGTAAACTCTTTGGGGCAGGGACTGTCTCTTTCTACACAGGAATGTATAGTGCCTAGCCCATTTTGAGTAGTCTAAATACTAGTTTGTTTTCTGTTAGGTTCTTTTATTTATGGCTATATTTACCTCTAGATATTGCTGACTATTGTAGGCCAGCTTGATATAGAAAAATCACTGTAACTGACTGTATTAGAGGGATAAGTGGCATTCAGCCACCTGAGATTGAGCAATGACTGAATAATGTATTTCTCCTTCATAACCTACATAAATCACGACACAATACGAGGAATTGCTAAATAATTTTTAAAACCTAATACAGATTTTGTTTTTATACTGTTAGGTGAACTTTCTGTTGAAGACAATCAGGACCCTTTCCTTGTTAGTATACATATTATCGCAGACCCTGGTGAATCCAAAGTTCTCCAGCAAGCCATTGATAAACTGTTAGCATGGATCCATCCAGACCTCCAGTTGTTCCGAGTCTCAGAAAGACGGGTCTCAAGGAAGCACAGGAGGTCTGGTAAGACTGCTGTTTCTCAGCCAGCCCTTGCAGTCATTCTGTTTCTGCAGGAGGAATATGGAGAAGAACCAATCTTACAGCTCCATGAAACCTTTCAGAGACCACCTTGGCAGTACCACCATACAGAACGAGTGCAAGGCAAGTTCCTCCCTTACATGCCATGCAGTCAGGACTTCTTCACTTTGGCCCATGGGACCCCTTTATGGGCCATCCGCCCAGTGCATTATGGGAGAGAAATTATCCGCTTTGCCATATACTGCAGGAATGAAAACTTTATTGACATTATGAAATTGTACCAGTTAATCCTGAAAAGACCGGTGTGTCAGAAAAAGGCGGACTTTTGTGTCTTTCCTGTCTATTCTAACATGGATATAGACATTCAGTTCTCTTTAAAAAGACTCCCTAAGGGCCAGATTCCAACCCCTACAGAGTCAGCGGTGCTGGAATTCCGAGTAGAAGATGTTGGACAGCTTGTTCCTCTCTTGCCCAATCCTTGTAGCCCAATCAGTGAAGGCAGGTGGCAAACAGAAGACCATGATGGGAATAAGATCCTCTTGCAGGTATTCTCTAACATCTCTAATTTTGTATGTGATGAAACAGAAACATATTTGCTGATTTGTACAAGAATGCTAATTTGTCCCAGAACAGCAAATAAAGGGTGGGGCTTCCATAACAATATCCTGGTAGGCAGACCCAAGAAAATACTGCTAAAAAGAGAGCTTATAAAATCTTTGTGCATGTAAAAATATATAAATCAATACAGCTGTAGGTGATACCATGATGTTCATATATCCCTTAGCCCCATGTTAGGCAAAGAAGAGACTGAGATAAGCCAAGTGTGGAAAAGGGAAAGATTGTGAACTGATAGCTAAAGGTGCACGTTTTTTGCAGTTTTTATAAGAAACATGAATACCCAGACCACACATTTTTATAAAATAGCTATTAGTGACTAGCTCTTTATTAGAGGTAAACAGAATTTTTGATGGTACAAATTATTTTCTTACATATGTATTAAAACACTGGGTGACCAACTGCACCTCAATAGATGGCCCAGGAATCTTCTTGTTCTGCAAAATAGCTATCAGACCCAGAAAAACGGAGAAAGAAGCAGAGAAGCAACCTGAGCTGTTTAGGAGACATGCTCCCTGCAATCTGCCTTCTCAATCTTATCTCAAGCTGCATGTACTCGTAGACAGAGTCTGTGGAGAGTTTGGTCAATAGGAGGGGAAAGGTCGTGAAAGGCACAGTACCCATACTGTATCTAAGGCTGCTTAGAGTCACTTCAACATATGCAAGTGAGTTAAATAGAATAACAAATAACAAGCTTTCCAAAAATGCACTCTTCATCAGGATACAGTAACTCCTCACTTAAAGTCGCCCTGGTTAACATGGTTATGTCGCTGATCAGTTAGGGAACATGCTCGTTTAAAGTTGTGCAATGCTCTCTTCTAACGTCGTTTGGCAGCTGCCTGCTTTGTCCACTGCTTGCAGGAAGAGCAGCCCATTGCAGCTAGCGGGTGGGGGCTTGGAACCAGGGTGGACTGGCAGCCCCCTATCAGCTCCCCGCTCCCCTAAGTTCCCTGTGCTGCAGCCGCCCAGCAGGCTAGCAATCAGCAGTTCAGCTGTCCCTCCCCCGACTGCCATGTGCTGCTCCTGCCGTCTGCCTTGGAGCTGCCCCCCGAGCCTCCTGCTTGCTGTGCAGGGGAGGGGGGAAAAGGGGGGGCTAATGTCAGGGTGTCCCCCTCCCCCCTGCACCCCACTTACCCCTTCTCCATATAGAGCAGGGAGGGGACACGGATGGAGAGAGACAGAGGCTAGGTCTACACTACCCGCCTGAATTGGCGGGTAGAAATCGATCTCTCGGGGATCGAATTATCGCGTCTCGTCGGGACGCAACAATCGATCCCCGAATCGACGTGCTTACTCCACCAGCGGAGGTAGGAGTAAGCGCTGTTGACGGGGAGCCGCGGAGGTCAATTTTGCCGCTGTCCTCACAGCGGGGTAAGTCGGCTGCGATACGTCGAATTCAGCTACGCTATTCGCGTAGCTGAATTTGCGTATCTTAAATCGACCCCCCCCCCCCCCCCGCAGTGAAGACCTGCCCAGAGAGAGCTCGCGGTTCGGGCGTGTATATCTATATAATATATAGTTTTTTGTCTGGTGAAAAAAAATTCCCTGGAACCTAAACACCCCCCCCCCCATTTACATTAATTCTTATGGGAAAATTGGATTCGCTTAACATCGTTTTGCTTAAAGTCGCATTTTTCAGGAACATAACTACAATCTTAAGTGAGGAGTTACTGTACATACAACAGGTATGTTACTCCACAGTTACATTAATGTACATTGTGGCTTTTTGCTTAACCATGTGCCTCAAAGCCACTGTTTTACTGAAGAGGTTTTCTGAGGCTTAACCTTTTATTCTTAAATATTTATATTTCTGCTCAATAAAAATAGCCCCCACCCACTATTAATTTGCACTTTATTTTTAAAAATCCATGGGACAGATCATCCCCTAAATCCACATGCTATTAATGCTAATAGGGCTAAGTATGTGTGTCAAGGAAAGTTAGACCCTCACATTTAGAAGAATGTCATCATTCTGATTTTAAAGTGGGGAGGTTGACAGTGAATTTTCTTTGTGAAAGGTGCCCCTGCTACTGAAGTCCTCTATCTACAGAACAGGCACCATAGGTTTGATCCTTTTGCTTGGTGGAACTCAGGATGCTGACAGTTGTGGGAAGTTCTGCTTGAACTTGCTGAGCACCCATATCTCCTTCTGTCCTCTGCACACTTCTGCAGAGTTGGGTGTGCGCAGACCATCTCTGCAATGTAGCGGCTGTGTGCCCGTAGCTCTTCTCACTGGCAAGATCACCACACCGCGCACCTCGCTATTGCAGATCCCACCTAGGCGGTAGCTCTACCCCTTGCTCCACTGGCAGCAACGGCACTGCCCCATATAGGTGCCTCAAGTCTGACTGCAGCTGAGAAGGCAATTTGCTTTTCCTGACCATCCAGTCCTTGGCCTTTCTGCTGAGACTGCCACTAATTTTAGTTGTTGGACTGGTTTTTGTGACGTGGACTGGATAGGCACTAGGTTGGGATAACCAGTTCATTTCAAAATGGCCACAAACCACCTTGATGTGGTAACCACTTGTGATCACCTTCACTTACTGCTTTTCTTCTATAGACTAAAGGGTCCATATCCCATTAGTAATCTCTTGAACAGTGAAATTCTCTCTGATTCCAGTTTTTAATAGTGCATCTTTCAACTACAATAATTTACAGCATAATGACACTGAATGAAAAAATTTTTAATGTCTCTGCTTAGGGTACTGTACAGGGGTTTAAACATTCCATGGCTATTGCCACAGTATCCGTATTAATTTTCACCTCCCATCAGAATGACATTCTAATATTTTTCAGCTTGCATATAGGTTTGTGTTATTAATAACAAGAATATTTTTGATTGCTACATACTCAGATTGATTATCTCCACATGCCAAAAGTATCACTTATACCCACCAATAATAAATCTATACTTCAGAGCAATAAGAAAGCATTTAATGTGACTGGGATTTTAATATACTTCAGCAATGTGACCTATGTGTATCTGGTGGTATACTTACAGGGGTTGGGACTCCTGCCAACCAGTAAGATTGCTCCATCCTCTTAACCCGTTCTGCAAATGCAATTATCAGGGAGCTTAGATTAAGTAAGAGCAAGAAAAAAAACGTATGAATGGATGAGTCTGGCATTTGATATCCTTTGTTTGCAAAGATAACACCCTCCAAAAATGTTTTGTTGTGGCATCTTTGCTTTGTCTGCTTCCTCAAATTAACTCAAACAGCCTGATCTTATTCCAGCTGAAGTCAAGGGTAGATATGTTGTTGGATTTAGTGTGAGCAAGATTGTCTATGATCAGTACTGGTTCTGTCATTATTTTCATATGTTGAATTTTTACAATGTGTGTAGTAGTTCAGTAAATAACTGTCAAGCATTTCAGTGTAACTCCCAGAAGTAAATCTGTGAGTGCAGAGGTAGTCCACCTATGTAAATGAAGGCATTCTGTATGACCCTGATAAATATGTACAGTACAAAATATTTAAAGACAAGAAGAATTAAGGTTACTGAGCTAAATGAATATCAAATAAGTTGTACTATATAAAAAGGGATCAAAAGCTTGTATATGACAATTTATTTGTTAATCCAGTAAAAGGTTTGCCTTTATCTGTCTTGCCTGTGTTCTTCAAAACCAGCATAGCTACAAACACTTTGAGATAAATAGCAGAGTGCATTTCCATTTTCAAAATCTGAGCAATTACAGTTAAAAGGACAAAAGGGAAGACTAACTAGAAATCAAAGGAGGTGTAAAGGAAATAGAAAGTCAAGGACAGCCCCCCAAAAAGGTGGGGAAGTGCGACTTCTGCCGAACAAAACTAAAGGATGGTGATTAAAGAAAAATATGAGACATCTTAAATTAATGGTGCAAGTGGATAGAACAAATTTGATGAACAGTAAAAGGAAAGGAAGGCAAGGAGGGATTTTGACTGGACAGAAGGACAAAAAGAATAGCCTTTACAAAAGTTTCCTTTAATTTCTTAGTGTGCTGAAAATTAGAGAAACAAGGTGGGTGAGGTCATATCTTTTATTGGACCAGCTTCTGCTGGTTAAAAAGACAAGCTTTCAAGCTATGCAGGGCTCTTCTTCAGGTCTAAGAAAGGTACTCAGAGCATCACAGCTAAGTACAAGGTGGAACAGATTGTTTAGCATAAATAGTTAACACATATTTCAAGGGACCATTCAAGGTGAAGTGTCCTCTTAACACTCCTGCACTCATAAAACAAAAAAGGGGATTAGTGGCTTATAGATTGTTGTACTAAGCCATAAATCCAGTGTCTTTAGATTTTTTGTATCTAGTAAAGTTATGAATTTAAGCTTCCAGACTCATCTTTTGTATAGGTTTCCTTTGAGGACAAGGACTGAGAGGTCATATATGGAGCGATCATTTTGTGAAAAGTGTTCCCCCATAGGTGATGTGGTATTTTTATCTTTTATCGTTTTTCTGAGTGAGTTCATTCGAGAGCATAGTGATTGTCTGGTTTCACCCTCATCATTTTTATTGGGGAATTTAGTGCACTGGATGAGGTACACCACATCTTGTGATAGGCATGCGTTGGACATGTTGCTGAAAACGACAGACCGTGTGTATAATAGTGGACTCAATAAGACATGTCTAATTACAGATATAAGAACCTAACTTTTGCCTCCTGTTTTTAAAAATTTTGGCCTCTGTGTTTCTCCTGCAAGATGTGCTCTGCCTTTTCTGCCTTAGATGTTTGTGGGTTCTCTAGTATCAGTGATGGTTTTAATAGAAACACACAATCCTAAACGGAGGTCTTGGAAGCTAAGTAAAACAGGAAATGATCTTTCAGCCATTCTGTCCTTCACCATGAGTGAGAGACAACCTCTTTTATATCTTTTTATTTAAAAAATTATCTTAAATAGAATATCAATATATCGAATGCCATTTTAAACATAACATACAGTCAAAAAAAGCCAGTGTACATATATAATGTTATAAGATTCCCATTGTGATGACTGGGACTACAAATTTACTGTAATTGTGAGCTCTGCTGTAAAAAGTGAGTGAAAGTTTATAAAATGTCACAATAATCTATAACAACAAATGTTGATGGGGAAAGGTGCAAAAGGGAGACAGACTTTGAATTAGTCCAAACGAAGAGGCCTACTAATATAACTCAAGGATCATGCCTGGTAAACAAGAAAAGTGTGGGATCAAAAATCAATGGACCAATATTGGTGTGTTGGGAATTAAGCCTAATTAGTAAACAAAATAATGAGGGGATGGGCTATTCCATCACACACACACACCACTGCTTTTTGGGGTTCTTGAAAAGAAAAGACTTTGGGGGGATTGCGGATGGATGTGGATGCTGGCTGATTGAAAGACGAGGAAGGAGCGAGCTTCACCATCATGGCTGTCACCCCTGCCATCTCCTGGAACCCCGGGATCTACCATGACACTGTTCAGCCTTAGTTGCCCTGATCTTGAGAGATGTCCTGACCAGACTGGGTCAGAGAGAGAGAGAGTGGGATCCTGATGATGTCACCTCCTCCACTGGCTCTGGCTAAATCCCAACCATCAACTAGGATGTGAGATTTTGTCATCCCTGCCCATGTGTGTCCTTTTCCTTCACTTTGTTCTCTTTCATATCCCTCTCTTTTCTTCTTGTCTAATAAGAGTCTGCCTTAGCCAGCCAAGACTGGACATTTTGCAACATTGCTGAAACTCTGTGACCAGAGAGGAAACTAAAAGCAATGCTCTAAGTAGCTTCGTGCTGATACGAGTTTGCCAGATCTCAGAGAGGCTAATAAGAAGACTAAATGCCATGCCTGTGTTTTGCCAGTGAGGTTGCAAGTGAAAGTCAACCAGAGACAGAAGCTGCATTTTCTATATTTGCTATTCTTTTCTCTCCCTTTTTGTGTGTATTTGTCTTGTTTTGTCTTCTAGGAAACTGGATCAAACTTCCAACAACAATAGCAATAACATCTCCAGTTCATCTCAGCTAACCTCTTCTCCCTCTCCCCCTCCCTCTCAAAAAGGGACAGTTATTACTATCTTTAATACTTTACATGTCAAATGCTGAACTGTTTCCTTCTTTTCTGTATCTTTAATAAAGGATTTAACAGATTTGTAATAATGTGTTTGCCATGGTACTAAGCAGGCAGAGATCTCTGACAAGGTCATTTTAACACCTTTGACTCTTTGGGTCCATATATTCCATCGAAGTTAATACAACAGCCCATCTAGCAGAGTAAGATACTAATTGGTGTGAGGAAGGGTGTCAAAATCTGGCCCTTAGATCTTTGTAGTCAGGACTGTCCCTTATCTGGTTTGTACAGGGCCCTGGTCTCAGTTGAGGCCTCTAGGAACTACTGAAATAAAAATAATGAGTAATAAGAGAAATCTTTTTTTTTAAAGGTGGAAATTTCCTTTCTTCGGTCAACAAGCAAAAAGTTAACTAGCAGCCCTGGATTCTTCTCATCAGATGTAGGAGGCCCTAATAACGTAGACTCTGTAGATCTCTGTAACTTTCACCAAAACTTGTTTCCTTGATTTCTGAATGTTTGACTAAATATCCTCCAAAAATTCTGTTTTGATATGGAGAGATTGTAATTTCCCATAGACTGCATGAAGATTTGTGAAGACTACAGTGAGCATGGGTAACAGACCAAGCATTAGGTTTTAAAAATATATAATTTTTTTATTATAAAGCTAATCTGTTCAATCAACAATTGTTCTCTCATGGGTATTCATGTGGACAGATATATCATCCTCTCTATTTGGAATTTCAATCAAAATCAACCTTTTTGGTGTTCTAGGGGCTGCACAAGTGGCGTGTCAGTTTGTACACAGAGCTTTTGTTCTGTCAGATGGCTGATCCTTTTCCAGTGTAGCTGGAGCTTTTGTTTCTAACACAAGCAGCACAGATATACCAGACAGTGCTTTGTCAGTCTGCAGTGAGGTAATGGGCATTGCAAAAAGCAAACTGTAAGGAGGCTGAAGGAAAAAAAAAGTATGAGATTTTGCTTCTGAAGTCAGACAAAAGATTTGCCCCACGTGGGGAATATAAAGGCATTATGCTAAAAAGAACAGCTGAGATGTACATGTCATTTACTTTAACAGATAAAAACAAGTGTTTTTCTATGTTTCTCTGTCCAAGATCAGAGTAGCAGAGGAAGTTCAGTCTCTCTCGCTCATGTTTCATGTCTCATTTTGGTCCATCACATTCTGAAAATGGGTTCCAATTCTTTTATTATTTTTTAAATTTTTATATACATTTAATTGGTAAAAGCAAAGAGGAACAGCAGACTGCCTAGCTCTCTGTATACAGTAGTTGACTAGTAAGTAGAGGCATGGTGTAGTGGCCTCAACACAGGACTGAGACCCAATTTCCCCTGAGTTTTAATCCAGGCTAAAATATGGTTTCCCTCTGTGATCTCCAGCAAATTAGAGAATTTAGAGATGGAAAAGTCCTATTCATTTATCTAATCCAGCTCTCTACCAATAGAGGAGTATCCACTAATCTACATTTGCTAGTGTTTTCTCCGGTCTGGTATAAAATGTGCCAAGAGATGGAATTTTCACTACTTCACTTGGGAGATTATTATACAGTCTAATAATACATCTCACTGCTAGGATGGTTTTCCATGATGTGGGATAAAGGGCTTCTGAAAGTGTTCTAGCAAATATTGCACTTGCCCATATAATTTAAGATGGTATTTGAAAATGTGACCCATAAATTATAGGTCATCTCATTACAAATATTTTTACATAAAGAAACTGTGGTGCAGGGATATAATAACTTGCCAAAGACATCACAGTGCAAGAGTAGAATCCATATCTCCTTTGGATTTCCAGTCCTTTGCATTATCCATAAGACCATCGTCTTTGCCAATGTTAGATCTGTCCCCCAAAGCATTTTTTAGCTCTTCTAGTACAAGTCATTTGACTTGATAACTGTATTTGTGATCTAATGTTACAAAGGCCCCAGTCCAGGAATCCACAAATAAGGACTCTTAACACCTGCAGGGGGTCCCATTGAGTCTAGCTTCAGTTTCTACTGGTGCATGTTTTGTCTAAATATTTATCAACTATTTATTTTTTTTAATTACTTAATCCATCTGTTTGCCATGCAGTTTATCTCACAGTAGAACAAATCTGCAGAGAAAATCAGAACCATTAGTGAGTGTAAAGTGTATTCATATAGTGGACAACGATATAACAAAATAATTTCCTGCACAAACACAGGAAGTGATGAGATAATTTGTTTGTGTCCTTGAAAATGAAATACTGCATTCTGTAGGCTATCCAGAAATGTCTTCAAATACAAATTGATGCTTTTTTCATCAATACACACCTATTAACAGCCTCTGCATAATTTCTAAAATAACTTATCTTGCCTTCTGCATAAATAAAAATAATATAGCTCCAAAGTCATCTCTGGTAAAACTTCATTGACTACCATTCAATTTGAGCCATTCTGTTTGATTCTTTTGAAATCTTGATCCCTTATCTATTAATGAAGCTGGTACAGTACTGTAGCTAATTTTATTCAAAGATTCAGTTAGTTCTATGTGGCATTAAGAAGAATAGCCTATTACATTATGGATGGATGGATTATGATGGATGAAAAGATGGATTATGAATTACCATAGCTTCATGTGTTAGTGTTAGTCTTTAAGGTGCCACCAGACTCCTTGTTGTTTTTATTCATCTACAATACATAAGAGAACTCAACAGGATTTATGTCCCATAACGCACCCTTGGCATGGACAGTTACAAATGAGCAAACAATTTTTTGCAGATGTGAAAGTACCTTGTTACCTCTACAATCAATGTAATAGATAATGAAAGATTGAAACAGCACATCTTTGCCACTAAGACCATTGGGGTGTGAAGTAGTGAGAAATGAGCAACAACAATGCTTGGAGGTTGTCTAGGCATTAAAGTAACAGTAGGTTGCTATCTGCACTAAATTCCAGTTGTTACCATTTTAAAATTCTTAAAACGTATCTAGTAATATCATTTAAAATATAAACAATGAAGCTATTTGCTGAATAAGTCTGCAAGCTGTCAAGTAATGGATGTGGAAGCTTGAGAGGTGAGATACTTTCTCAGTTCTGGTACAGTATTTGAACCATGCTGTGTTAAGTCATGAGGTGGAGGACAATAAATAAGGTATTGGCTTATTTGGGCCTAATTTCTCACTTTGGATGTGTGTGAAGCTCCTGCTGCAGTCTGTGGGAATTGCATGTAAGCGTATCTGGGGGCAAAATTTGGTATTTTGCATCATGTGAGAAATTCCAGTAAAGCTTTCAAAAGAAGTGATTTAAATACAAACTGTTGAAGCCATATTGAAATAACTAATATGAGGAGAAGGATCCAGGAAGTTATTAACCATTCAAAAAAGGTTTGCTAGGAGTAGGGGGGATGGGCGGGAGTGGGGGGAGAAGGGTCCCTTGCTCAGACAATAGATCTTGGAGATGTTAAAAGAGAAGGGTGATGTGTTTTTCAAAGAGTGGGAGATACGGTTTTGACTGACACTAAGAATTGGAGTGTTTCAGGGTAATATTAGGGCAAGGTTATAGGTGACAGTGGTGGCATTAGTGCCCTTCTATCATTAGAATTGAGGTTGGAAGGCTGGGGAGAAAGGGCTGTTGATGACCATGAAGTTCTTCTTCAAGTGATGGTCCCTATTGTATTCCACCAAGGGGATTCAAAATCTGGGCTTCCTGCCCTCGCTTGTTTTCCATCAGTGACGAGCACCGGTGCTGTTTGTACTGTTTGGGGAAATCCCACATCACGTCAAGGTGCAGTATCTTCCTCTCCTTCCCTGTCCGTACATGGGAAAGCTGAGCTCTTTGCCTCAAAAATCACCTCATGGAGGCTGCAATGGGGCCAAAATCAGATCCTGGCCAGGGAATCCCCCCTGTCCATCAGCCTGAGCAACCTAAGAGCGCTCCCCCACCACGGAAACTCCATCTGGCTCTGCCAGTACCAGTGCTACCGACCCAATGCAGGGACCTAGCCATGAGTCATGGAAGCATGCGCATAAGCATGGCCATAAGTCTTCCTCCAAGTCCAAGAAGGACATTGCCCTGTCAACGAATTCCAGCCATGGAGGAACGAGTTGTTCCAAGGCTCACAAGAGTGAAAAAAGGTAGGCAGGAAGCACAGATTTTGAATCCCCTCAGTGGAATACAGATAAGGATCACGCATCTCAGAGAACCTCCAGTTACAGGTAAGTAACCTGCCCTTTTCATTCCTAGAAAATATAAGGTAGGGGATGAGCTGGATGGAGAGAGAAGTAGAAGCGTTGGTGAGTTCTAGAGAAAAAGAGGGAGAATGAGATTTCTGGGTTTACGTCAGCGGTCAAAATCAAAAGGAAGAACGTAGCAAACTTCTCACCACCCTTAGTGAAGAAATGAATGGAGAAAGAACAGTAACAGTGGTTGGCATTTACACTATTCATCTTCAACTTCCTTTACTAAAAGAAGAAATGCTGGAAGTAGAGTATGAATGAAGTCATATAATAATCTATATTAGTTAAAAAGTCCATGCTGGTTGAACTTGTAGAATACCAATAAACAGTTTCTCTTTGATTTATTTAACCTTTTAAGTAAAACCCAATCAATATATTAAAATTCAGAATGAGAAAAACTCTGGGATTTTGTGATAAAAAGGAAAACCTGGTGAGCTGGAGTAACTTGCTCCTCTCACCCATCCAATTTTGCCCTGAGCTTCAACACACAAGCTTCAGAGATTTTTTTTATGTCAATTTCCTATAGTTTTGTTTTTTCACATACTATGTAAGTACGTAATCAATCAATCCAGGCTTTTACTGAATGTCCGATGAGACATTACTTGTTTTTTAAGAGCCAGGTTTTTTTAAATTGGAATAAAATTAGATGCCTTTCCAAAGGGTCTTTCTGAGCTCAGCCTTTTGAAATCTCATATAGAATACTATAGTTCTTAAAAATATTACATAGAGAATTCTCAGAGCACATCTGAAAATTTTGCTACAGTCCTATAGTCTTAAAATTTCACCTGTCTTCCAAGAGATGAGTGTCTTTCTCAGGATTTCACTGTTGTTTCATGGAATTCACCCTCTGAGGCAGGACAGTTTTAAGGCTCCAGGCCTATTCACTTTTGTTTTCCTCCAAGGACCCTTATATAAATATTTGGATTTTGGCACAGTGCTTTCTCTTTATTATTAAAGTGAAATATTTACTGTGACTGTACTGAGTGACAGTCTGCTTTATAGTTACATGCAGTAACAGTTCAACAATGGAGACTTACAGTTGTAAAATTGCCAAGTCTGAGTTAATGTGGTCTTTCCTCTTTTCTTTCCCCCCTCCCGCAGCAGGCACGTATTTGGTATAGGAAGTCTGCTAAGCAGAACAAGCTTCATTTCCCATCTTCAAGGGATTCCCGTTTCACTCCTTCACCAAGCTACATTCCTCACAGTCACAGACCTGCCCCTAATCAAACTAGTGAGCATCTGAACTCAGCTGGTCAAATCAAGCTGCATCGGGCAAATGGCCTTGGTCAGTACCTTGGCATCTCCCAGCAGGACTTGAGAAATGGTGACCGAGGAGACTTCACCCGAAGATCCAGTAGTGCCTCCAGCATTTCATGGTCATTTCAGCGAAGCAAGTCTCTGTTCTGCTTGCCTACAACAAGCTCCACTCCGGCCTCTGACTCCTTTAACTTTAGTGAACTGTTTCAGAATTTAAATACTGGGTCACCTGTGAACAGGTTAAAAACATGGAGATGCAGCCCCAAGCTTAACATTGAGGACTTGGAGGGTTCACAGGAGACTGATGTCGACACAGGGATGAAGCTGTCCTTCTCAGATCTGTCTGTGGTCTCAGCCTACTCTACCTTTAATGGATTTTGCAGTGATTTGGAAGCTACTCTTCCCTCACAAAGGCAAAGTGTCAGTATATCTAAACAGGCTGTCTCCAGGGGAAGGCCGTTGTCAGCCATGTGCAGTACCCTTGAGCTCCCTAGTGGTTCACTTCCATCTCTCTCCGAGTGGTCTTCCAGCTCTTTCTTGTCATCTTCCGCATCCCCCTTAGCATCTCACTGCCAACTCAGACAGTCACCAAGAGCAACCCCTTGTTCTCTGAATGATAGGAAAACAACTGGCAGCATTCATCCAGGCTCTCCAACCAACGAGGAGGAATTCTACATCTGAGCTTTCTCCATGCTGAACCTTTTAATGTAAATTTGTGCGTATGTGAATTACAGCAGTGCATTTCCACCATCTGAGCCATCTGGGCTGGCAAGTTCCTTGCTCCTTCCTGAGGGGAGGGTGTTACATCACTAAATGTTGTAAATGTTGTAAAAGGTTCCCACACACCACTGTAATGGGTGCCTCATAAATGTATATTATAATATCAGGTGAGATTGTGTCCACTGGATTCATGTGGAGGGGAACCCTGATTTGTAGCTGTGCAGGTAGGAGGTTTGTGCTCAGTGTCCTTCAGCTCTGGCGAAGGGGGTTTGGGAGACTGACCCTTAGCATGTAGAGCAGGAAGTGCCCAGGGATGCACATGGTAACCCACCTTCCCCTGACAAGTATCGTAAAGATGCTGAAAAGAAAATACAACCTCAAGCTGCATTAACTTTTCTGAGAAGCTCTCTCCACGCTGGCGAACCCTTCCCCACCTCCTTTATGAGATGCCAGAGGCAGCTATGAAAAGGGCAGACCCTAGCAACATGACTCCAGTAGAGCCAGACAAAGAGGCTGAGGGCCCCAGAACCATTGTAGAGGCACAAGCCTCCAGCTGATCTTTGAGAATCTGCAGAATCGGGGAGAGAACATCCTGTTTGCTCCATGGGGAAGAAGGAACCCGCACCACATCCCCAATTTGATGGACCGGTTTTGGGAAAATGCCATGAGGGGAACCTTGAGGAGCTTTTCTCCCCATCTCTCCCCCCTTCCTCCCCCCCCCCCCCCAAGTCAAAAGTGTTTTTCATCATATGGGAAGGGAGCAGGGTGACCCACTGTTAAAAATGCACTGCAGCTCCCTATTTTTAGGGGTTTATTTTGGTTGTAAAAAATTCACCTCATACATAAACATAGTATTGGTGGTCCCAGCCCAATTTCTGTGTAAAACAAATTTCTTGCCAAACTTGTCTGAATTTTTAATTTATCTAAAGGGAAAAATATGTAGAATTGTACTGGCCTTTTTATCAAGTTACATTTTTGGCAAGTTGTTACAGTATAATGTGGCAAGCTGTTATGGTGTAATTACTTTTGATATTTTGGAAAAACGTTTACATGGAGAAGCCATTAGTCTGAGAAATGGCTAAGTACCTTCATAAGGATTTTTACCATCTATTTCAAACTTTTCTGACAATATATCTCTGTGTTAAACACTACTGACACTGAATACTGTTCTGGTCTAGGCACTAAGAACATTACCTGGTTTAAAGTAGTGTTTACAAATCTGTATTTAATCAATAGACAGGTACAGCTGCAGAAGATCCACTCTGATCAGTCAGTAAATAAAACTAGGGAGGAAGAATGATCTTGTGTGTATTACTCCGCAACGTTACTCAGAACAATACTATTCATTTTAAAACAGCCTAAATAAATAGTTACATAAGAGAGTGGAACAGCTCCAAAAACCTCCATTCTAACCCCCAACTAAATATACAGTTTATACTATTCCACAAACCATCCTTAAAAAAAAAATGCAGTCTGGAAGAAATAAATATAAAATCATTCTGTTTAAACACCATTAAAGTTGTAACCCAAATCCACAAAAGGCAGGAAATTGACAGTAAAGGCTTGAAGGAATTGGCAGTCAATTCACTGACCCTCCTTTATGCTGTTCGGCATTTTTTGCTTTTTTTCCCCCCACAGTGATCGAGAATGGTGCATCTGCCTCATCTAGAGTTTCCTGCCTGTAGTCAGCTACTGAGACAACATGAACTGCCTGGAAACCTTGTCTTCTGTATTAACTATAAAAATAGGATTTTATTCCAGATCTGGACACCCAGCTGAATATTAGCACTTTCCCCACCACTACCACCCAGAGCTGTTTGGGTTCACTCCAACTTTTGATAAACGACCCTGTTCAGAGATGCTTGGAAGCAGAAACAGCATGAATGAGGGATTTAACATGGTGTTTGAATGTTTACCAACTATCGGCCTGCTCCAAAGCCCATCAAAGTCAGTGGTAGTCTTGGGGTTTAGGTCAGACTTTAGGGTATGTCTAAAAAACCTGCAGCATCGAGTCTCAGAGGCTGGGTCAGCTGACTCGGGCTTGTGGGGCTCGGGCTGTGGGGCTAAACATTGCAGTGTAAACATTCAGACTTCAGCTGGAGCCCAGGCTCTGAGACTCAATACTGCAGGGTCCTTTGCAGGGTCTCAGAACTGTTAGAGCACAGTAGGCCTGATTCACCACTGTCATGGGCTATATGTAATTATTTACAGCTGGGCAAAATATGTGTAGAACACTACCCGATCAGAATGGTAGCATTTTGCACTCACTTGGCAAATGACTATGCAAGGTGCAAGGCAGTGAAGAATCAGGCCCAATAGGTTTAGACCAGGGAGGGCAAACTACGGGCCGGAGCCGTTTTAAGCCGGCCTGTGAACTCCCGCTGGGGAGCGGGGTCTGGGGCTTGCCCTGCTCCGGTGCTCGAGCCACGCAGCTCGGCCCCGCTACGGCTGGGGTGCTGGATCGGGGGCCGCTCCACACAGCTCCTGGAAGCTGCGGCATGGCCCCACTCCGGCTTCTAAGTGCTCCAATGGGAGCTGCAGGGGCGGTGCCTGTGGATGGGGCAGCGTGCAGAGCTGCCTGGCCGCGCCTGGCTCCACGTAGGAGCCGGAGAAGGGACATGCCACTGCTTCCAGCAGCCGCTTGAGGTAAGCGCCACTCGGAGCCTGCACCCCTGAGCCTCTCCCCACACCCCTGCCCCAGCCCTGATCCCCCTCCCACTCTCCAAACCCCTCAACCCCAGCCCAGAGCACCCCCATGCACCCCAAACCTCTCATCCGCAGCCCCACCCCAGAGCCCGCACCCCCAGCGAGAACCTGCAGCTCTTCCCGCACCCCTGCCCCAGCCCTGAGTCCCCCTCCCGCCTTCCAAACCCCTTGGTCCCAGCCCAGAGCACCCTCCTACACCCCAAACTCCTCATCCGCAGCCCCACCCCAGAGCCCGCACTCCCAACCAGAGCCCTCACCCCTTCCCGCACCCCAACCCCAATTTTGTGAGCATTCATGGCCCGCCATACAATTTCTATTCCCTGATGTGGCCCTCAGGCCCACCCCTGGTTTAGACTAATGGCACAATATTCTTCTCTAAAATTTGTGGTGGCACAAAGATAAATGATGAAATAACATTGTGAAGCCATTTTGCCAACACTAGCCATTTTCAGATATGACAATAAACAGGAAAGAACTGGTTCACCCTTGTCAAAAAAAGTGTTTTATCATTCATTATTTGGGAAAAGGCATATTCAAAATATTTATAATACTTATAAAAAGTCATCAAAACATGGAATCAGAAGACCTTCAGAGAACTGACTTCAGCTGACATGTCTATTCGTTCCTGGAACCATGTCAGTGTTCAGACTCCTGACGGAAGCTGGCTTGTTCTACTACTGGAGAGAAGACTTGGAAATATCTGTCAATCTACAGCAGGCCTTATGACTGGAGTTCAGCATAGCTGAATGCAATAGCCTGGCTTTATCAGAAGTATTGATGATGTTGAAAGGCTGCAAATTAGCACAAGATAGCAAATTACCAAGTAGCAACTAATGTTAATATACGGGAATGGGACCATCTAAACTCCAGACTGTATCACGTAAACCAATATAGGAAGGAAGCCAAATTAATTTCCACAGACTCAGAAGAGAGAATTTATATTGTCTAAGATGGTTCTGTTCTTCCAAGTACTTCTACTCTGTTTACTGATATTTAACTAGAAAATAATGTTCTAATTTTGTAAGTTCTGTATGAATAATTCATGGGGTGTGTAACAAAATTGTGGAATCACAAAATGCTCCACTGAGAGGAAACGGAATAATATTATTGTACTGAAACCTTTTATGTTATAAAAATAAAAGCCAGCTTTTCAAGAGTGTTTCAATTAAAATAAGTGTCATTAGTTCCCTTTTCTATACTTTAAAAGGGAGTTGAACTTACCCAGATGACTGGAGATGCACAAGGTTCATGCTATGGCATTTTGCTTATGTATCATATAACTGTTGTTATATTATGAACAGGATCAGTAGAAAATTGCAGATTTCCCCTTAACTTCCTCTCTTCTCCCAGGCCAGCATATGTTGCTTTTATCAAATAAAATATAGACAGAAAGTTAATTGTATTTAAACTTCTGTGTGTTCATTTATTAAACACAGTGGAGTCATATTGGTTACTTTAATGAGGCCTTCCTCAGATTTCAAAAGATCACTGTATCAGACATAAGCACATCACTTCTGGGCAATGTTGATCAATAGAGCAAATATAAAATAAACACAGCCCTAAATACAAGAGATGTCTTTTATTTTAGACTCAGATTTACCTCTACAAACAGGTCTTATTTCTCTTTTCTTATTGCAAATTATTTATCCCAGTAAAGCTAAATGATTAACAGAGGATATGAAAAATTCTACATACATGAATCCAACTTAATTTTGTCTCCTGTATTAGAATCATAGAAACGTAGGGCTGGAAGGGGCCTTGAGAGGTCATCAGGTCCAGCCCCCTGTGTTGAGACAGGCCCAAGTAAACCTAGACCATCCCTGACAGGTGTTTGTCTAACCTGTTCTGAAAAACCTCCAATGATGGGGATTCCACAAACTCCCTTACAAGTCTATTCCAGTGCTTACCTATCCTTACAGTTAGAATTTGTTCCTATTATCTAAACTAAATCACACTTTCTGTAAATTAACCCCATTATTTCTTGTCCTGCTTTCAGTGGATTTGGAGAATAACTGATCACTGTCCCCTTTATAACAGCCATTAACATATCTGCAGTGGTTCCCTCCCCCGTTTCTTTTCTCAAGACTGAGCATGCCCAGGTTTTTTAACCTTTCCTCATAGGTCAGGTTTTCTAAATCTTTTACCATTTTTGTTGCTCTCTTCTGAAGGCTCACCAGTTTGTCCCAAACTGTGGTGTCCAGAACTGGACACAATACTTTAGCTGGGGCCTCACCATTGCTGAGTAGAGCGGAACAATTACCTGCCATGTCTTACAGATGACACTCCTGTTAATGCACACCAGAGTGATATTAGCCTTTTTTTGCAGCTGCATCACATTATCCACTCATATTCAGTTTGTGTGCCACCATAAACCCCAGATCCTTTCCACCA